GAGCCACAAAATGGCGCTGATTCGGGAAGCTCGAAGGGCTCCGAGGAACAAAAGCCGAGCGCAGCCGCGGCAAGAACAAGTAGGAAAACAGATACTTTCCCGATCGCTGATGAGAAATGGAAACTGATTGGCCTGCTTGCGTCTGAGGAGGCAAAAAAGAATGCGGGAGGACGCAAAGGTTCCGACGGCGCCAGCAGCACCACGCCCTCAGAAACGGGAAATGCCGACAGAACACGATCTCCATGGAAGCTCAGGCATGCCGCTAAGAAGGTCCCTGAGGATGAGTACTTTGAGAGCCTCAAAACGAACAGGAAAGATGCCATTCCATGGAGCACCAAGCCGTCCGAAAACAAAGCAAAGCAAAAGAAAGTTCGTGAAGCGGAGCAAGCGTTGACTCTACAGACAGAAGTACTTCCACCCAAGCAAGAAGACATCAGAGAAGAAACTGTCTTGAAATCGACAGCTACCAAACTGCAAGAACAAAATTACCTAATTTCAAATGTGTCGAAAGAACCTGGGAAAATTGCTGCTCTGCAATGGATGCCTGAAGAATCTTTAGGAAAAGACAGTGCGCTTCATACAGCACTGTTACAGAGTGCTACAGTTGCTACAAAAGAACAGCAATTGGTCTCAGCTGACACAACACTCCAGCACTCAGTGCATAAAAAGCCTTTTATGGCTTCACGGCTACAAGTATCGCTCGCAACACCAGCTAAAGAAGCCTTAGTTATGCCGGAACCATTGAACAAAGGGGAAGCTTCACCAAGGAACCTTGGAGACTCTAAGTCGGATGTCAAGTCAACTACAGCAGCAATAACTCACATCACACCTGCTAGGAATGCTGTCATTGACAGTTCAGCTAGCGCTCGGGAATTAGGTGATGAAGAGAGCCTCGAAGGCTCTGTAAAGTCAGTAAAAAGGCTTATAAAGGCCAAGGATCGTCAACTTATGATAATGAGGTCAAGTCAGGGACAAAGTGTTGGTCCAGATGATAGTTTTAAAGTTGTCTTAAACATCGATACTCCGAAGTCCGAACGCTTTGTGTTCAAACATGAAATACCTCCCAATACTCCTAAAGTGGACTATTTTTGGGAAGCAACACCGAAGCCCACTCCAGGACCTTTCGTGGATTCGGATGACTACGATCTCACAAAAGGAGGAAGCGGCAAATTGTCAAGAGAAGCGAGCACTACTGAAACTGTGGTTGCTCGTTGGAGCTACTCAAGAAAGCTGTCAGAAAGTGCTAGTGAAGCAGATGAGCAGTCAAAGACTTCATTAAATTCGCTCGAAATGCCGAAACAGTTGGAATCCAATGTAGCAGCACCTCCTGAGGCTAAACAACAAATCCTTTTTTCTAATCCAAAATATTTATCTTTAGATGAAGACAAGGTGAAGACGGTGAAGGCGGTGAAGACGGAAAACCAACCGTGCAGCCTAGTTTCACAGGCAAACTCTGGTATGAAGACCACTCCTGGAAGTGCAGTGGGCTGGTACAATCAGGATGGCACACCGCAAAGGCAAGACCACCCTGATGAACAAGAATCTGGCCATGCCGGCAACAATGCAGAATTTGGTGAAGATGGCAACGCCTATGGTGGAATGGTGACAAAAGAGGAACTTGAGCGTTATATGAAGATCGCAAAGGACCTCAAGCTAAGACGTGGTTCGTTGATGCCGTCGTCAGGAACGCTGCAGTCGTCTGAATCAGTCGCTGTTGGAACAAAGAGGAAACCCAGTCTGGTGATGGAAACAAGGATAGAGCTATACGGTAAAGGCCGCGTAACGTTTTCTTTTGACGCGGTGGCAGAAGAGGGCACGGGTAGCATGTACCAGGATGACTCCCAGGTTAGTCTTGTGCGACGCGGAGCGCCATCATCAACTCACACCCCTAAAAGAATGAGCATCGACATGCGTGCGCCCCCCGCCACACCAGCAGCTTCAATGGAGGCCATTTCAAAGCGTTCAAAATCGGTTGATTTTGGCTACAACAATGATGACGAGAGCATGCAGTATGAACCCCAGGAGCCACCAAATGCCGTTAGCCAGGCAGCCAAAAGGCGTCATTCAGAGCACTTCAAGGCTCAACCAGATGAATATCTTAAAAAGCGAAGGCACTCAGAACCCGGTACTATGTCCATATCTAAGGAAGAGACGTCTAAGGCTTTCTCAGCTTCTGACTACCAGTCTGATGCGACTGTAACAACCGAGGATGATCATGAGCCTCACGCACCATGTGCACCCTGCAAAGTCTTACAAGAAGCAGAAAATATGGCAAACGCGGCGGTAGCACTTGCTGCTTTAGAATCCAGGATGCGCAAGGCACCAGAAGTCACTGAACAAACCATCTCGGCGCAGTCACTTGCCGCCGAGCCATCTGCAAAAACTGCATCACGAGTGGCGATAGTGCCAAGAGAGCCAGTTCCACTTGCTAGCGAAGAAACTCTTTCTGCGCTTCCAGATGAAATTCCTGCAGTAACTGCAACTGAATTGGAAGCAGCGCAAAAGGTGCCACTGTTGCCTGCCAGCGAAGAAACCGTTTCAGCGACGTCTATTGCAACTGAATTACCCCTTAGAAAAGCAGAAGAGCTTGCGACAGCGTCGAAAGCGCCAGTGCCTCTCGCCAGCGAGGAAACACTTCCCGTCCAGCACGATGTTACGGAAATGTTTGTGAAAACTGCATCTGAAATGACTGAGGCGCCACTGCAGCTGGTACCGTATGAAGAATCTGTTTCTGCGAAGTCTATTCACACCGAGCCACTTGCGAAATATCCAACTATTCTAGATGCAGTGCCGAGGGTTCAAATGATGGAGAAAGTGGAGGAAAGGCCAATCTCAGCACTTTCAATGAGAACCATGTCATCAGCAGTAGCGAGCGATGAAGACCTCTCTGGTTACGCTACGTGTGAATCGCGCATGGGCGCCAAGTCTTCGGAGGCGCAAAGTAGCGAAGACTTGTTAATGCATGGGCGCAAGACGCCTGAGCCACCTGCAAAAACTGAAATGACGTCGCCGCCACCTGAAGCAGGGTTTCCTGCAGAAATTGAGAAGAAACACGAAGTAGGGGCTCCACTTCTCGATGAGTCTAAAACAACAATGGAACAACTGGAAACTGAACCTAACTTAGCAGAACCAGCTAGAAAAGAAATCAAGCAGGTGTCACAAATGTCCATAATCGAGCAGCCAGAAAGTGAGGTTCTGGAGATAGCTGTAGCACCAGCTGCAGAAATACTATCAGATGTAACAAAGCAATCTCCAGCTGAAGCTAAAGCACAAAAAGAAAAAACGTCAGTGACTACCGTAGCCAAGGTAACACCTTTGTTAGCCGAAAACCTATTGCAGTCACAGGCCGCAGATGAGAATATTAAGGCTGTTGAAGCTGTAGAAGAACACCTCATGGAAGCGTCGGTCGCTGATGCCGCGGAGTTTGCACCTAAACTGAGAGAGCCTGCAGCAGCACTTACCATAGACAAATTAAAGCCTACATCCAAAGTACCCCAAGTGCCTATCGAAGAAACAAAGGATGTAGAAGCAGTATCAGTCGAAAAAGGCTCGGAGCTTGTATCAGAACCAGCGGTTCCGGCTCCAGAAGAATCGAAAGAGGTAGCAGAAGCACGACTCCCTGAACAATTAAAGCCGACATCAGAAGAGCATAAACGCGCTACGGGACAGACAAAGGAGCTGGAAGCTGTACCACTAGGAAGAGTCTTGGAGCTTGTATCAGAACCAGCGATGCCGGCCATAGAAGAAACAAAAGCGATAATGAAGGCACCGGTGACTGAACACTTCAAGCCAACATCAGAACAGCGTAAACCGGCGGCGGAAGAAACGAAAGAAGCAGAGGCAGCACCGTTCACCAAAGCCTTGCAGCTTGTACCAGAACCAGCAATGCCAACAGAAGAAGAAACAAAAGAGATAGCGAAAGCACCACTCACTGACATATCTCAAAAGCCCAAACCAGCTGCGGAAGCAATGAAAGAGTTAGAGGCTGCACCACTCACAAAAGGCTTAGACATTGTACCTGCACCAGCAGTGCCAGCAGTAGAAGAAACAAATGAGATAGCGAAAGCACCAGTGACTGACATATCTGAAGAGCCCAAACCAGCTGCGGAAGCAATGAAAGAGTTAGAGGCTGCACCACTCGGAAAAGGCTTAGAGCTTGTACCTGCACCAGCAGTGCCAGCAGTTGAAGAAACAAAAGAGATAGCGAAAGCACCAGTCACTGACATATCTAAAGAGCCCAAACCAGCTGCGGAAGCATTGAAAGAGTTAGAGGCTGCACCACTCGCAAAAGGCTTAGAGCTTGTACCTGCACCAGCAGTGCAAGCAGTAGAAGAAACAAAACAGGTGGCGAAACCACCAGTGATTGACATATCTGAAGAGCCTGAACCAGCTGCAGAAGCAATGAAAGAGTTAGAGGCTACACCACTGGCGAAAAGCTTAGAGCTTGTATCTGAACCAGCGCTGCCGGCTCTAGAAGAAATTAAAGAGGTAGCGAAAGCACCAGTCATTGAACAATTCAAGCCCACATCTGAGGAGCCTAAACCAGCTGCAGAAGAGACGAAACAGTTGGAAGTTGCACCCCTCGCAAAAGGCTTGGAGCTTGTATCTGAACCAGCGGTGCCGGCTCCAGAAGAAACAAAACAGGTAGCGAAAGCACCAGTCGTCGAACAATTAGAGCCGACATCTGAAGAGCAAAACCCGGCTGTGGAAGAGACGAAAGAGTTGGAATCTGCACTACTTGCGAAAGGATTGGAGCTTGTACCTGAACCAGATGTGCCGGCGTTAGAAGAAAGAAAAGAGGTAGTGAAAGCACCAGTCACTGGCTTATCTGAAGAGCCTAAACCAGCTGCGGAAGCAATGAAAGAGTTCGAGGCTGCACCACTCGCAAAAAAGTTGGAGGTTGTATCTGAACCAGAGGTGCCGGCTTTAGAAGAAACAAAAGAGGTAGCGAAAGCACCAGTCGTCGAACAATTAGAGCCGACATCTGAAGAACCCAAACCAGCTGTGGAAGAGAGGAATGAGTTGGAAGCTGCACCACTCACAAAAGGCTTGGAGCTTGTATCTGAACCAGTGGTGCCGGCTTTAGAAGAAACAAAAGAGCTATCAAAAGCACCAGTCATGGAAAAATTAGAGTCCACATCTGAAGAGCCCGAACCGGCTGCGGAAGAGACGAAAGAGTTGGATGCTGCACCACTCGCAAAAGGCTTGGTGTTCGTATCTGAACCAGCGGTGTCGGTTCTAGACGAAACAAAAGAAATACCAAAGAAACCACTTGAGGCAGCATCACAGCCGTCATCAGAAGCGCTGATATCGGTTGCCGAAGAAACAAACGCAATAACAGAGGTACCCTCTCCAGGTGTACAAAAACAATTATCCAATCTGCCAGGTCAGCAACTCTCAGATGTACGCAGTTCATCAGTGCCAAAACCACCAGCCTTAGCAGAAATGAAAACGGAACGCTCCGGAATAGCTGACCAAGATCAAACACATGGTTTGTCTGAATATAGGTTTATTGAACACGGGATATCTGAAGAAGAACAAAAACATGGCGCGGAAGTGCAAGCCGTCAAAAAAGGCAGTCCTGGTGTCCGAGAAATATTTTCGGCGGAAATAAAACCTTCGTTTGAGCCAGTAGTGGTAAAAACTAAGCGCGATCAAGAATCTATATCAGTGACGCCAGCCGCAGATGAAACACGATTTAGGACAGACACGCCAAGACAACCAGTCGTTGAGCCAAAAGCATCTGAAGAGGCAGCTACGACAGGGAAAGCTTATGAGACTGGGGCACTCATCGAACGACCACAGAAAAAAGTTGGCACACCAGATACTGCCATCCAGCAAGTTCCATCAACAAATATAGTGGAACACAAACCATGGTCTGAAGAAGTAGAAATATTAGAAGAGCCCATGCCTACTAAAGCTGCCATTGAGTCTACCGACAGTAAGCAAGACGCAATGGAAAAGTACATAGCATACTCTTACACCGATCCAGAAGAGCTACCGCGTCGTCCAATGAATCCATTTTACGCCTACCTTGGCAGATACCCTCCTCTAGACGCTGTCAGGAAAAAGCCTGACAGAGGCGGAGAGAAAACGCAAAAATCCGAAGAGATAGCATGCGCTTTAGAAGCGAATAAAGTGCAAATTGAAGTTTCACCTTATACGCCAGCAGTTCCATTATCAAAAGTAGAAAAAGTGCGAATGTCGCCTTCAACAAAGGCATTTCAAGAAAATTCCACTACAATGTCATCGCCAATTTCCAAACCGAGGCTTCAAACTAAGGTTTCAAAAGGTTTTGTAATGCCTGGGCTACCCATGAAACGCCCGGCGAGCGCAGAGCTACCGGAAGGAAAACATGAAGGCCACTCTACCATTCTTGAAGGAACAAAAGTTGAAAGTGAAGCGCCATTAGAAGTGCCGCAACAACCAAGCCATTACAAAAGATAGAACAGAAGACTTCAACAGCAGCTTCAATGGTAACAGGAGTTGTCCTAAAGAAAACTTTTGTAATGCCACAACTGCCACAGGTAGCTTTTGATAAACAATGTAGTGGAAAGCCACCGAAAAGTGAAAGCGTTGTTGATCAGGCTATACCCTCGATTGGAACAGCAAAATTTCAAGTGGAAGAGCCGTCAGAAAAAGCAGCAACTGATAAAGCAGTAGAAAAGCCATATGAGGCTACTGCAACAAAGACCGCCCAAGAGCCAGAGGAACGCAGCTTACATTCGACACAAACGGGTATGCCTGGAGCCGCCGCGAGTATGGCGCCCCCTTATTTGGCCCGCGTATTATCCACAAAACAAGTGGAAGAGCCTAAAATTCGTTCATTAGTTTCCACTGAAGTACCATCACCAAGGGAAGAAGATGCTGAGCTTGTTTCTTCTGCACTAGACTCGTCGGTTAAAGAGCCAATAAAAACGCCTGTAGAATCAAGTTCAAAAAGATACAAACCCACTGATGAAGTACAGACCCTTCCAGAACAAAAGTTTGAAGAGATTGCACCCATAGAGGCATTAGAAAGACCAGACGTTCGTGCTCTAACTCCTTTAGAAACTTCTACAGAGGAGGAAAAAACTGAGGCTGTTTCTCTTTTACTAGAAGCTCTGCCTAAGCAACCATTGACTAAACCAGAAGATGCGCTGAAGAAACATAAAGCACCTGAGGAAGTTAGTAACGTACAAGAGAAACAAAGCGTTGAGGCCTTACTGTCAAAGCCATTGCACGAGTCAGTGCATGCTTTAATTCCTAAAGAAGCAGGGCCTCGAGAAGAAAAAGAAACTGAGGCTGTTTCTCCTTTACTTGAACCAGTGTCCAAAGAACCATCATTCGAGCCGGAAGACAAGAAACAGAAAGGGCCTGAGAAAGTAACCTACATACAAGAGAAAGACGGCGTTGAGGCTGAACCGTCGAAGGCATTGCATGAGTTAGAAGTGCACACCTTCATTCCTACGGAAGCCAAGCCTTTCGAAGAAAACAAAACTGGGGCTGTTTCTCTTGTTGTAGAACCTGTGTCTAAAAAGCCGGTAGACAAGATGGACAAGGTACCTGAGGAAGTAACTGACTTGCAAGAAAAACCTGGCGTTGAGGCTGAACCATCGAAGACACTGCCCGAGTCAGAAGTGCGCGCTTTAATTCCCAAGGAAGCAAAGCCACTCGAAGAAAAAGAAAGTGAGGCTGTTTCTCCTGTAGTAGAACCTTTGACTAAAATACCATTAATGAAACCGGCAGACAATAAAGACAAGGTGCCTGAGGAAGTAACTGACGTAAGAGAGAAACCGGGCGTTGAGGCTGAACCATCAAAGGCACTTCACGAGTCAGAAGTCCACGCTTTGATTCCCAAAGAAGCAAAGCCTTCAGAAGAAAAAGAACCTGTGGCTGTTTCTCCTTTCGTAGAAGCTGTGTCTGAAGCAACAATAATGAAACTGGAAGACAAGAAAGACAAGGTACCTGAGGAAGTAACTGACGTACAAGAGAAACCGGGCACTTGAAGCTGAAACATCAAAGGCACTGCACGAGTCAGTCCACGCTTTAATTACCAAGGAAGCAAAGCCTCCTGAAGCAAAAAAAACTGAGGCTGCTTCTCTTTCAGTAGAAGCTGTATCTAAAGCACCATTAATGAAACCGGAAGACAAGAAAGATAATGTTCTAGAGGAAGTAACTGACGTAGAAAAGAAACCGGGCGTTGAGGCTGAACCATCGAAGACACTGCATGAGTCAGAAGTGAACGCTTTAATTCCCAAGGAAGCAAAGCCTCCTGAAGAAAAAGAAAGTGAGGCTGTTTCTCCTGTAGTAGAACCTGTGACTAAAGTACTATTATTAAAACCGGAAGACAATAAAGACAAGGTACATGAGGAAGTAACTGACGTACAAAAGAAACCGAGCGTTCAGGCTGAACCGTTAAAGGCATTGCACGTGTCAGAAGTGCACGATTTAATTTCTAAAGAAGCAACGCCTCCTAAAGAACAAGAAACTGAGGTAGTTTCTCCTTTAGTAAAAGCTGTTTGTAAAGAACCGATAATGAAGCCAGAAGATAAAGACAAGGTACCTGAGATAGTCACTGACGTGCAAGAGAAACTGGGCGCTGAGGATGTACCGTCGAAGACATCGCATGAGTCAGAATTGTACGCTTTAGTTCCCAAAGAAGCAATACATCCAGAGGAAAAAGAACCTGAGGCTGTGTCTTCTGTACTAGAACCTGTGTCGAAAGAACCGTTAATGAAACGAGAAGAAGCAATGCTGAAGAAAGATGAAGTACCTAAGCAAGTAACAGACGTACAAGAAAAACAGGGTGTTGAGGCAGTACCCTCAAAAGAATTACATGACTCAGCAGTGCACGCTGTAATTCTTACGGAAACAAAGACTCCAGAAGAAAAGGAAACTGGGGCTTTTTCTCCCTCAGTGGAACTTGTGTCTAAAGAACCATTGATGGAGCCGGAATACAAAGAAGAAGACGTACCTGAGGAAGCAGCTGTCGCACAAGAGAAACGGGGCGTTGAAGCTGTACCATTAAAGGCATTGCACGAGTCAGAAGAACGTACTTTAATTCCAAAGGAAGCAAAGCCTCCCGAAGAAAAAGAAATTGAGGGTCTTTTTCCTTTTGTAGAACCTGTGTCTAAAGAACCATTAATGAAACCTAAAGACACAAAAGACAAGGTACCCGAAGAAGCAACTGATGTACAAGAGAAATGGGGTGGTGAGGCTATACCTTCAAAGGCTCCGCATGAGTCAGAAGTGCACGCTGTTATTTCTAAGGAAGCAAAGCCTCCAGAAGAAAAAGAAACTGACACTGTGCCTCTAATACTGGGAGCTGTGCCTCCACTACAGGAAAAGCAAAAAGTTTTAGCGCTTCCATTAACAAAACACAAAACTGGGCTTGAGGAGGCTGTTGTATCACTTCCTGAAATACAGGTGAAAGAAACAATTGAGCCCACCAAGTGGCTAAGCGCCGAGAAAAAATCCGACGTCAAGGAACTACAGTCGGCACACAGAGCACTTCCTGAGGTACCGGAAATCGAGCCTAAGGCTGTGCCATCGCAGACAGTTGAGGATGAAGCGAAGGCACGTACGGCACCAGCGCATGATCCCGAAGTTGCTATGACCCGGGGAGAGGTTTCAGCAGAACGCGGCATTCAGGAAGTAGTAGCGACTCCAAAGGCAGAAGAAAAAGAGCTTCAAGGGGAGCCTGGTGAGGAAATGTTTAAATTGAATGTGATGATCGAAATAAGTCCAGCCTCACTGACGAAATCCGAAAAGAAAGACGAGAATGAAAAACCAACTATAGCTGCCGCTGGCGAGACTGAAGAGCGCGCAACAAAGAATGTTGAAGGGGCTGAGACAACGCAGGGAAAGACCGAAGCTCCAGAAACACCCGAAGTTGTTCTGGATGAAGAGAAACGTGTCCGTGAAATATTGGAGTTTGAAATAAATCTCTGCAGAGCGCGCAACCTCGGTAGCGCACTGCCCAAAGCTGAAGAGCTCTTGCACGTTGGTACACCAGCTAGTGAACCTGCAGACTCTGCGGAGCCGGTGCTACTTGAGGAGAAGTTTGCTAAGCCACCAGGTGCGAGGGTGGCTCCCACTGAGTCACCGAAAGCTGACACAGCAGCTCCCTCTAAACTACAAGGTGACCAAGTGGATGCAGAATCGCGTGAGACAATTCTCGACGCTTCTGATTTCAACAAGGGGCCTCTGTCTGATTGGGAAACGGAGCTGCAGCAACTTAGAGACTCTAGACTTCGTGATGCCCCCTATAGGGCAGGGGAACAAGCAAATGTTGTGACGGTTGACGCGCCTGTGGGTGCTCGAAAGTTTCTCGAGCAGGAAGCCGAGGCAAAAAAAGTTCCCGAGGAAAAGCAGGTTAGCATTCCACCCGAGACTGGAGGTCTCAGTCCAGGGCCTTCGGCACCGTCTGACATGGGTGCAGATCGGCGTGAGTCGGTCGTGATCGTCTACGAGAGAGATGCACTCGGAATGACTACCCCCAATTTTGAAATTCGATTGAGGAACGAGCGAGAAATTCGTATCAAACAACACGAGCCACTTGCTGCGCAGCTGTTTGAGGGACCCCCGAGGTCGTTTCTCCGAGCAGACACTGAAGGAAGCTATCCCAGGTCTCCGGTTATCCATCACGTGAGCTTCACGAGAGAAGGTCATATTCCTCCACCTGAAAAACCGGAGCCCGTTGAAGAAAAAGAAGTCAAGCATTCTGTTTTGCCTGTCGGAGTGGACATCGCACAGTGCACAGCAACAGAGTACCAATCATCGGAAGGGAAGCCCGTCACATCAAAGAGTGAAGAGGAACCGGCCTTTGAAAAAGGTCATATTGACGAGCGCAAGCCAAGCGGCCAGTTAGACAAAGCAGAAAAGACCCCGAGCCTTCAAGAGGGAACGCTGGATACCGAACACGTTGCGCAATCTGCTTCATCACTTGCCTCCACAGCAGGCGCCGATGATAAACGGAAGTTTTTCGGAGCAAGTCCTGCTGACGAAGTGCCTCCCAAATACGACGAATTATCAAGCACTGCTGCTCAGAGCAAAGTGATGCCAGAGCATCGAGGTGTGGAAAGTACACAAGAAAGTGTTGCTCCAAAACCAGAAGCCAATGTACCTTCCCGTGTGTTTCTTCCGACCCACGAGACCTCCCCACAAGGTGAAGCAGAACTAGACGGTGGGGTGCAAACTACAAAAGAGGCGACAAATGCACCCGACAAGGATGGAGAAGGAGCCCCTCGCACGTTTCTATCAACCGCAGAGGTGAGCCCATTGTCACAAAGTGGACTGAAGCCGCAAGCCACACCAATGACCGAGGTCATGATTTCACAAGAGAAGCGGCACGATGAGAAGACGGAAATACCCGAAGAACAAGGCATCATGCTAGGGCCATTAGATGAGCATCAACAGTCTACGCGGAAGGTATCTGTGCAAGACGTGTCTACAATAAAACCGCAAGCCACACCAGTCACCGAGGCCACAATTTCACCGGACAAGCAGCACGATGAGAAGGCGAAAAGACTCGAAGAGCAAGGCACGATGCTAGTGCCAGTAGACGAGCTCGAGCCCTCCAGGCGGAAGGTATCAGTGCATGACGTGTCTGCAATAAAACCGCAAGCCACACCAGTCACCGAGGCTACAATTTCACCAGAAAAGCGGCACGATGAGAAGGCGGAAAGACCCAAAGAGAAAGGCACGATGCTAGTGCCAGTAGATGAGCTTCAGCACTCTCGGCGGAAAATATCGGTGCAAGACAAGTTATAATAAAACCTGAACATATGGCACAAGCTGTGAAGCCTCCTGTACTGTCTGCAATAGTCGAGCGGGCTGATAAGCAGATAGACGAAAAGACACCCGAGAAAGAAGGCCCTGAGAACGAAAACGAACCTGAACCATCTGCCAGTGAAGACGACGTGCCTTTAAGTGCACAAAAGCAGCGGGAAAAGAAAGGCGAAACACCCACGAAAAAAGTTGAAAAAATGATCATCGTGCCTAGAGACGAGTTCGTTACTCACTCGCGCGCGAAGACGCCATCACGCGAAGTCGAGCCGGTTGTAACTGAGCGGGCGATTGTTGAGCGTACTGAGCACGAACAAGAGAAGGAGCCTGCGAAGGAGCATCATGCATACGTAAGCCGGGTGCCTGTCTCGGAGCAGGTGGTGATTCCAGTGCGCAAGAGACCCTCAGATGAGGAGAAACGCGATGCTTCGGCTACTGCCGTTATTGAGCGCAACATAGTGGAAGAGTCAAAAAGAAGCACACCTGTGTCCAAAGACGACTTGCACCATGCCGCCAGCTCTGATTGGGACGTCATGTCCAGAGAGTCGCTGCAAGGAAGGCCCGGTACCAGGACTGCCGACACGCAGACTGAGATGTCCACTGATTTCAGGAGCAAGGACGTACGCGAGGCCTCGACGTACGCTTTCCTCTCTGAGGAAACCGAAGAGGTCAGGAGGGCGCCTGACGACTACCTGCCGCTATACTTGCACAGAGTGACCCTCAACGACAAGGTGAGTGGCCACGTGCGTGCCACGCGCATTTAACGAGCTGGGCTCTACCATAAGCCATACATCACACCTTCTCACGTCCAGCTACTGGTTCGAAGTAACTCAGTTCGACTCTTTGCCACACATGCGACTCTTACACTTTATCTCTCTATTTATAAAGTCGTCTTTGCGAAAGTCGTCTTTCCAAGAGAGAATCCAGTGACTCCCTAAAGGGAGCTACACATGTGAGAGTCACATGTGTAGCAAATACGACTTAAGGAACACTTTTTGCGTAGACTGTAGGCCTTCAGCTGTGCCTGTTAGGCATCGTATTTTGTCCTCAGCAGAACAATGTTAATAAAGGAAGGGCAAAGAGTTGAACCTAACACGCACCCGTTTCGCTGTGCTAGAAATAGTAAGCGTGCATAAACCGCGCAGGCCAACCTGACATTAAACGGTCACTTGATGCAATCCACACAAGCGGGCATTATTACCGCTGAAACTTTCTTGGGATGGTTAGGCTGAACGGTGGTAGGTCCTTTTGACGGGCAGGTGGCACCAGACTCTTTCCTTCACAACCATAAGACGCGGAGATATTACCGACGAGCAAGCATCAAAAGCCAGACGTCACACAAAAATGTCATATCACTCCTTCAAAGATTTATGAAGAAGTTGGCTTCACAGTGCAATTACAAATAGCTAATAGATGAGGCGACCTTAAGTCCTCGTCGAGAGAGGCTTCGCTGTTATTGGTGTCTGGACTTTTTCATCCATGCTTGGACTGAGCCAAACTAAATCGCATAGAAGCATGAGTTTCGCAGCCACGCAGTTTAGTATAGTATACGCAAGTACGAAAGATTTCGAGTAAACTTCAGCTTTAGCGGATCATTAAACGATGTATCAACAAGCGCAAGGCACGTGTCATAAAAACCGAGTTTTTAAACCAATTCTTGGATCACCGCACTGACGAATATGTACAATTTACTCTTACATAGTAGACCATATTTCACCTCCGTCGCGAGACCACTGCATGGTAGCACGGTTGGAACATCTTCCAATCTAGACGACAACAGCGCTACAAGGGAACATCGCAGAAGACGGGTGCTGACGGCCAACAAAGCCTTTACTGTATAGCTTACGAAAAGAGAGGGAGGGTAGAGGTTAGAAAAAGACAGTTGCACTAGGTACTGATAATGAAAAAGCAGATCGGTGCTGCATACATCAATTAGCTTGCAGGAGGAAGCTGCATTACTTGTCGCAAGGGGATAGTGATTGGGTAGCGCCCTTCCTGAATGTTCCTTTCGTCTTCCTCTCTAGCCCTGCGTCAACCATGCGCCACAAATGAGCATCTTGTAAACCACTCGAAAATATACCGAGTACGAGTGTCTTTGTACTGGGGCACAACATTGTTTTCTGTATAGTAAAGGTAGGGACCCACGTTTGGCACACTTAATTGCGAGAATATTATCGAGCTGCTGCTTCGCGTTGTTCGCACAGGCGGTCATTAAGGCAGTATCTGCTTTTATCTACATGTATGTACTTTCTGACGCAAACGGTGGAAATTTTGTACGCAGCCCTCGTTACGCATTCCACCAATGTCGAAACGTGGTTCTTCTTGCTATGGTTGTAGTCGCACTGACACCGGTTCACTCTATGCACAAACACCCGACTTTATGGGGGGGGGGGGTGCTTCGAAAACAACCGGTGCACCACCTCGCTAATAACAGTAGTGGTCGTGAACATCCGATCAGCGTCGTGCAGCTCTGGCCAACAATCATCTAGAATAGTCCTAGAGAGCCCACATTTGAATGGCTAACATCAACGTTGGCTAGGTGTTTAGGATAACAGGGAGCCGAGCTAGCTGGCAGGTATTTATGTTAAAAAGAAAGTGCGTCCAAGCACGGACGAAAAAATCAAGACACCACCAACAGCGGAGCCTCTCTCTTGTGCCCGCTGTGCACACGCTGCTATTTTAAAATGGTAATGCCAGCACTAATTCTGAGTGAGCATGTTCTCGATGCGCAGCCTTCCATAGCGGAAATGATGCGCAAGCTCACTCCGGCGAGCGAAGAGTGGGAGGAAGCGGTGCCCATGAACTGGAAGATCAACCCGGCGAAGGACCTCGAGAAGTGGCCGTCACACTGCATGCAAGACGTGCGCACTCCTACCATCATTCTCCTCGGTGGGATCAACCTATCCGCCCTCGGTGAAGTGCTCACAGGCAAGTGGCGAACACAATGCGCTAGGTGATTTATGGTACAGGAGCTGTTGAGCGATCGCGCACAGTTCCGAGCACAGTCCGCAAGCTCGAGCCTCTGCTGCACAGACGATGCTGCTATGTTCACGCCGATCTATTTCCTTTCCTAATAATCGGCCCTAGGAAAAAAAGATCCATCCTCGTGACTCAGTAATCCTGAGGGGTTGCGGAACTGTAATACGACTTCAACCTTTAAACGTGGGCGACCTCGCAGTTACGACGTCGAGTATCAGAAGGTGGTGTGAGAGGCTCAGTGAGGTATTTGACAGGGGTAGTCTTTTCAGGAACTCTGTAAGGGCCATCATACTTGGGAAGAAGTTCGGAAGAGAGTCTTACAGGGTGTGTGATGCAACACTGACAGCCACACGAGAGTATCGGGCAGAAAAGCGGCAGTCGAGTCATTGGTCATGATTGCTTTCCGGTGGTGCTGTTCGTCTGAAATAAAGTGGCGAGCCAGCTGGCGACATTATTCGGCGTGTCTGTTCGCGTCCAAGATAAACGGACACTCGAAGGTGTTCGGTCGATAAGGAAGCATAGTGTCAATGGTGTACGAAGGGTGACGGCTGTTGAGGAGGTAAAATGGGGAAAGCTTGGTTGTGGCTTGCGTCGTGGTATTGTAAGCAGCGCAGGTTATGAACGGAAGAACCAGGTCCCTATTAGAGCGATCAGGTGTGACATACACAGCGAGCATGTCACCACCGAGTTCCATTAAAGTGCTCTGTAGAGCCGTTGGTCTGCGGATGGTAACCGATGCATGTGCGAGGAACAATAGCGCATTCAGCAAGCAATGTTTCGACGACCTCGAATAAGAAAGTGCGGCCTCACTCGCTGAGTAGTTCTTCAAAACCTCCATGACGCATCACAAAACGGAGGAGTATTAAAGTGGCGACCTCTTGTACTGTAGCTGCCTGAAGAGCAGCAGTCTCGGCATAGCGTGCTAAGTGGTGTACTGCAACTATAATCCACCGGTTTTCGGCAGTAGTCGAGGGAAGGGGCCCATAGGTATCAATACCGACGCGATCGAATGGTCGGAACGGGCATGACAATGGTTGTAGTTCCTCAGCTAAGATGTGAGGGGGAAACTAGCAGCGCTGGAATTCGCGGAGAGAGCGCACCACGTTGCGAACAAAGGTATACATGCCACGCTAGTAGTAGAGCTGTCGAATTCGTTCATACGTCTTTAAGGCTCCTGCGTAGCCACGCTGTGGGTCAGTATATAACGAGGCGGGCGCTATGCAGGTTCGGCCAAGTTTAGCGTAACTCGGAATCTTCCCGAGCTCTAGCGACATCCCCTTATGAACGAGCCAACAGTACAAAAGAATAAAATCCACCCCTCAGTGCGCTGCGTCTCATTGGTTACGATGTAACCAGTCATCGTGTCAAGGACGATCAACTAAGTTAGGCGGTGTTTTCAAACCAGAGGCATCTTTTTTTCATTTGTTTGTCGTTCCGCTGAGTGCGGAAGTGCACCCTGTCATGACTGGGGACTGGCTAGCGCAAGAGACGCTCATCAGTTGAACTCTTTCAAGCGGTGCTCGTCGATGAGAATGCTGTTTGCGTCCCACAAGAGCGTGGTAACACTCCCAAGTGCACTGCAAGGAACGCGCACTGGCGTGCCAGTGACACGCGGTCCGTGTCACACACGAACGCTGTGAGGAGGAGGAGGAGGAGAAAAACTTTATTCATCCCAAGAGAGAAAGGTGCGGTGGTGGAGTGTCAGAGGAGCCTACTCAGCGTAGGTCTCCACTACCCTCTTGGCCCCATCCAAGATCTGGTCCTGGACCTCGGGCGCCGAGCTGCACATAGCAGCCTCCCACTGCTCCTTACTATTAATGTGTAGAGAATTGGGTGGTGGGTTTCGAGTACACCCCCACATGATATGGTCTAGGTTAGCTCTTTGTTGACAGAAAATGCACAAAGGGGAAGGGGTATATCGCAGGGTGTATAAGATGGCGAATAGATGGGGTAGGAAACGTACAGGTCTGCAACTGGCGCCATAGTATTTCATGGTAGCGCGAAGC